GCAAAATGAGACAGCTGGTCTTCTTACCCTTTGTACAAATATAATTTGCCTTCTTACTCTCCCATTATTCTCAAATATTCAGAAAAAGTTGACTACTATAATCGTTTTGTGTTAGTGGGGTCTAAGGAAATCAAAGGAAAAAAGGTGTGCTCCAAGCTGAGGTTAAGTGACAATGGAGAAAAGGAAATAGCAGTAAGAGACAAGATAAAAAAGATCAAGGATTTAGGTCAGGTAGGAAACTGGAGCTGAGATGAAGATGAGAAATGGAAGAGCTGAGACTCCTCACAATAACTGGAGGAGGATTGGTGGATTTCCCACCATATTTTCTGTGGATTCTGGCAACTTTTTAGGTAAATATCAGAGGATGAAATGAGTGTGCAGCTGGAGGAGGTAAGAACACCCAGGATTACAACCAGGGAGCAGAGAAATGAGTACAGACCCTTCACTCCAGGGTCTAAGGGCAGAATACACTCTTGTGGACCTCCAATGAGCAGAAAAGATTGATAACATGTGTGGGTCTCTCTTGAGAGACATAGAGGCCTGGGCATTACTGAGTCCTGTTGCTGGTGCCCAGGATGGATTTAGAAGGGCAGGAGCAGGTGAACCAGCATCTAGTGCTTCTTCCCCACCTCACTGGGCATAGATATATTCTACTTGTTTGTCCTTTCAAAGGAGATTACAACTTGCTAAATATAAAATGACACATATGAGGAGGAAAGACTAATTTTTTTTCTCAGAGATTTGGGTATTGTTTCATAGAAAGGCAAACAAACAAAAATAGTTATCGAGTTGACTTTTCAAAATCCTTTCTGGGTTTATTATTCTATTTCAGAGATAAATTTGTTGGGGTTACAATGTCTTATTTTTCAACTTAGAAATCCAATAAACTTTGTAGTCCATAAAAGGAAAGTTAAAGATGTTTAGTAACTGGGGATTCCTTGATTCTGGTCCCTTTTCAGTAAATTTTGACTAAAATAATATATTTTCTAAAAGTGAGTTGCAAAAATATAAAAGGACTGGCTATTAAATAAAGTCACTATTCATATAAAACTAACACTAATCAAGATGTTGAACAAGATGGCACAGTGGTGCACATCTGTAATCCCAGTGCTCAGGAGGCTGAGGCAGGAGGATCACAAGTTCAAAGTCAGCCTCAGCACTGAGTTTGATCCCCGGCACCACATAATAATACACAATACACAAACGAAATAAATTTATTGTGTCTATCTACAACAACAACAAAAAAATCAGCCGAAGCAACTTAGCAAGGCCCTAAGGTGACCTTAGGGTGACCCTGTCTTCAAATAAAAAATTTACAAAAGGGGAGCCACTGGGAATATGGCTCAGTGGTTAAGCACCTTGTCACCAAAAAATGAAAGAAAGAAAGATGGGTGGGAAGGAAGGAAGGAGGGAAGGAAGGAAGGAAGGAAGGAAGGAAGGAAGGAAGGAAGGGAGGGAGGGAGGGAGGGAGGGAGGGAGGGAGGGGAAGAAAATAGTTTAGCATTTCTAAAAATGCTCACTAGTTAAATGCCATGTGACACAATGACATGTAACTTGACAATATGACAGATGGAGAGTAAATAGTCCACTCCTGAAAACATATTTTTTCAGTGAAAAACAACCCATCTGGGTACATTACATCCTTGGTAAGTCTTTAGATCAATCAGTGACAACTGACGTGGAAATATTGTTACCACGGTGGCATAAGTTTCCTCCCTAGGGAGGGGAGGAAGAGGCTAGGCCATACGGCTTTCTGCTCTGAAATATTCAAATTGGTAGAAGAAGGGGTTAAAAGCCAGATTTGAAGGAAGACGGAAGAAATTTTATTATTTCAAAAGTTCCATTTCTGAAATACCTGAAAATTAGCAGAACTTTTAAAGAGGGGAGGCAGAGGAGAAGAGGCAGCTGCAGATTATTAAGAAAAGATGGTATATGTACATCTGCGGATTTACATGTCCCACTGCACAGGGCAGGGCAGGGGTGCATCAGGACAAAAGGCTGAAAGGAGTTTCACAGGCTTTGCCTCCTTCCTGGAGCCTCCTTATCACTTAAACAGGAGTTGAGACTTCTGGGACCCCTATTTTCCTAATTTGCAAGGGGATTGGAGCAGGGTCCAAATCCAGCCAGTTTTCAGTGATAAAGGGAAGTATATCATTTGTGCCTCTCAAAATAAATTTCAATATCAGCAACTATCATCAGTCCAGTGATTTTTTGGTGGCTGGCAAAAGATTCAACTTGACCTTAAAAAAAAAAAAAAAAAAGATTTGTGGGGCTGAGGACATAACTCAGTGTATTATGCTTGCCTGGCATGTATGAGGTCCTGGATCCAATCCCTGACACTGAAGAAATACTTACTATTGAAATACCCATAAATTTACCTTACCAAAGTTGGAAATCATATTTAACATGTAGGAAATATGGAAAGTATAAAAAGGATGCTTAAATTTTCAGCATCCCAATATGATCATTGTCAACATCTCAAGGTATTTTATTCCAGTCTTCTCTGATGTATTTATGGGTGTGTTAGGGAACAGACAGATGAAGATGGTAAAAACATGAGGTTAAGAGAATAATTCTATAAAATAGGCTCACTATACTGACCCCCACATTCTTTCTTTTCCAAGAAGCAATTTACCTGCATCCCTGCCCAGCCTAAGTRGACAGGATGTTATATTCCTCAGCAAACTACCCGTTAACTGCAGGAGAAATGTAGACCCAAGATAACGTCAACTGGAGGAACCCAGGAGTATTTTGTGACCAGATCCTGAAACTCTGGGAGATAAGGATAGGTCCTCCCAACCATAAAATCTGTAAGAATTRGAATCAGTCCACATGGGCCAATGTGACCCACAGTTACTATGACAGGGGGGACTTGAAAGTGAGATGTCACCTTTATGTCAGTCAAAAGCCAAGAGGTGGACCTGGGTAGGACTCTCTGAAAATTTCTCTGGGATCCCAGATAAAACTCATGTGCAAGAGAGGCACATTGTCCCTCTTCTCTCTGAGGGAATCCACTCTCTTCCTTGAGAGTGTCCCCTTTCCGTTTTTCTATCCCTCCAATTAACTTTTCCTGTTATTCTGAGCAACATGTCTAAACTCTTTCTGACTTGATCACAAGAATCAGGGTTTGAAGAGGGGGTCTTCATGCTGCCTCAGTTTCTCAGAAGATCCCAGCTCCATAAACAAAAACAAACCAATGGCCTTGCACATACTAGGCAAGTACTCTACCACTAAGCCASACTCCCAACCCTTTCTGAATTTTTTTTTTTCTACCAAGGTTTTCCRTATTACTTTATTTTCCTTCAAACAGGCGTCAGGCTTTTTGGTTCATTTCCTGAGAGATGTCATTTTGGCAACACAAAAAGTAGAGGTAGCCTTCAACAACTTTTAAAAAGCAAAATAGGGTCTTGTAGAGAGGGCYGTCCCTGGACTAGAAAAGGRATTTGTGAGATATCTCTGCATTCTTTGGAGATGCCCTAGGAAAATGATGCATTCCAAGAGCAGAATGTCTTTCCCAGGCATGTGAGAAAGACCACGGGCATGGGGATTTCTAGTCTACTCAAAGGTTTCAGTTCCTCATATCTACCACAGAAGCTTCCCAGAACTTCCAGGCCCGTAGGGACCTTGCATGTATGTGATGACCAATGTGAGCTGATGACAGAAGGCAGAGGGTGTCCTAAAGCTCGGTACCATGTGAGACCCTGAATGATTGGTACAACCAAAGGCAGAGCTCCAAGAATTATTGAAGTTGAATTTCTTACTAGTCCTGTTGGATCAGWGAATCAGAACGAGGATTATATATGAACCCAATGATTCATAGAAAATAATGGAATATCTAGTAGATTCTCACACACATGATTTTGAGGCCTGAGGCTTTGTGTGCATTTATTGAAATAAAAAATGTTGGGCAAATTTATACCAATAAAATGCAATGAAAGTGACAGGAAATATTTTATGCATTGCTCCATGCCTTTAATGTGTGATTTCAAAATATGAAGTTTCTGCATGGCTCCATATTTATTAGGCACAATAGCTTTGCTAGGCAACATGACATCTTCTACTCTCCCCACCCCCAACTTATASAAAGTTTAAATTTTGTTAAAATGTAATATGTTTAATTTTATACTTTAGGCTGAACTGATAAATTATCTCACAGTCACAGAAAATAATAAACATGTTGGGTAAAATATTGAAGACAAATGAAGAAAAGAAAGTAAGGGCCCCCCCATTACTTATTCCCATGAATCAGTCAATATAAATAACAAATAAATAACAGACTCTAGTTTGGAATAGGAGTGCCAATTCACTCTGTCAGCTTCAGGGAAGGTTATGAGCACACAAAACACAATGATCTTGGTCTTAGGAAATTTCAGAAAAATCAGAACTTCTTTTTGAGATTCTCGAGTTTTCCATTTTAGCTGTGTCATAAGCACGAACTAGTTCTTCCTGAGTGACCACTGCTCCTTCTGTTTGGGAAAATGCATACCCATCTGGAAGGCAAAGAAAGACAAGAGAACCCTTTAGGAACATTCATGGCTGGTGAACATTCTGATGACAGAGACCGAAACTCCAACTGGACTAGCAAGTCTCCACATTAGACAGAAAAAAGTGACCCATAGGATGAGGGTCTGATGACAGAGCAGCTTGCAAACCCAGCTGTATTAGAATAACTTAGGAAGCCCTTGAAGCAATATCCCTTTCTGGGTCCACAGTTGATCTGGAAGTGGGGCTGTGTGTGTGTGTGTGTGTGTGTGTGTGTGTGTGTGTGTGTTTAACTAAGGATGGAACCCAGAACCTCATATATGATAGGCAAGTGCTGTACTAGTAAGACACATCTCCAGCCCCCTTAGTGTGGCTTTTGAAAGATTTCCCAAGGTTTCTGATGTGTATCATGTCCTACATAGCAACTGCTATTCTACAGGAAATGACCTGACCATGGCTATGTCACTCTTGCCATTTTAACCATCTATATCACTTGCTGAGGAGTGATTGCCACTTACATGGCTGAGACTAGACTGAACAACCCAAACAGTGGCCTCCCGGGTCCCCGATTCCCTTTTTCCATTGGCATTCAAGAGGAGAGGCCCTGCAAATGTCTGAATCTTGAGGAGGACACTTGTAACTGAAACCTAGAAAAGTAATTTATGAAGCCAAAATCATGCTGGAAAACAACATATAATGTTAATATTAAATTTAGTAAAGAATCCATCATGCTGGACACATCCCTGTCTTAAAATTTGGCTGATTTAAATAAGTCTTAAAATTTGGCTGATTTAAATAAGTTTTCAAAGTGGTTTAATTAAGTTTAAATAAATAATGTCATTAGTAGAAATTCCCAGAAGAATTGATTCACTTATCAATACTATATTCCTTGGAGGACCAGTCTTATAATCATTTCTGAAAGTTAAGCTGGCACTCAATATAGAGAGCTAACAAGTATCACTGTCCTTCTTTAACTCTTGACCTTGATAGGGTAGACAGTAGCTCTGTCACACAATACTGCATTCAGATTAAAAGACATGGASCCCAGCAATCACTATTTCTATCCACATGTATCTAATGCTTATCATGTAGCTGATTAATGACAATGGATTTACTAGTGAGAAGTCATGATCTGTGAAAGAAAAATAAACTATAAATGGAACTTACATTACCTACTAATCAGCAGGATTTTAAATGAAATGTCTCTGTGTACAAGTAAGGGCAAATGGCTCACAACCTTCTCTGTATATTAGAATCACCCAGGGAGCTAAGAAAACTGCATGTATTCTGCCTAAACATTACACCAGTGGTTCTCTGTCTTGTATGTATACCAAAATTTACCAGGTGATGTCTGGTTCCATCTCCAGAGGTCTGATTTAGTGAGTCTGTGTGAGAACCAGGAACTGGCATTTCTAAGAACTTCGCAGGGGACACTTCTATTGCTGTCTTCAGGACTATTAAGTTTGGCCTACAGCTGCCTCCGTACATTTTGTGTTTGCCTGAGAGGTTCTTACTTAGGAAACTTCAACCTAACTTGATGTGTACAGACTATAACCTATTCTTATAACATGTACCAAAGTCTCATCCAGTTTCAAGCAGCCAACTGTTCAAACCAAGTTCAAATAAGACAAGAGTTGTAACCAACTGGGCAGCTCTGATTCACTTCCATTTTCTGTTTGTCACTTCTTTTTCTTTGGCTATAAATATAACCTGCCCAAGTGGTGAAAGAGGTATTCTGAACATTTTTGGTTCTGATTGATGTACTATTCTGGAATCTCAAATAAAGTCAACTAAATTCTGCAAAGATTTAAGATTTCTTGCAATTTGTCTTTTAATAGGACTATGCATGGARAACTATTGCTTTAGTCAGTGTAATCACTATCTCTGGTTGGATATTGGTATTAATATTGAGTTTTCCCTCCCTCCTTCTTTCCGTTCTTTCTCCTTTTGCCATTTCAGGAAAATTCAATTACAATCTTCAGGTGGRAATTTGGAGTTGTAAAAAAACCCCATACTGGTACTTCCTGTATAACCATGGATGGTATGAATGGTTCTGAGGAAACATCAGTGGATGTCTTTTGGAAAGCAGACAGGACAGTACCTGTAAGTGGCAGGAAAACCCTGAGAAAAGTTACCAAAGCTTTCATCAGCCTCCCTCTGAATCAAAGCCCCATGCTGAATCAGGCCTGCAAACAACCACAGGTGGAAATACCCCATCCCTTTATTTTTAAATGTTCTAACCATAAATGCATGGTCTTCTTAACGGAAGACCATTTCAAATGGTATCTCCACTCAAAATGAATAAACCAAACCTCTCTTTTTGAAAGGCCAATTTTCCTGCCATATTTATCGAGCTAAGATCTTCAAGGAGTTGGAGGACTTCCGATGGATTTGGCCTAGGGAAAAGGTTTCACCTTGGTCCCCAAAAAGATGGTACGCATACATTGTACTTTCTGGGAGCTGATGAGGTTTTTTTTCAGCTACATATCCCTGGCTCAGGCTCTGAATGATGTTTGGGAATTTGTCAGCATTTATATGCTAGTGGTATATTGTGCTTTCTTTCTTATTCCTAATAAATACAGTATTTACTTTTGAAACTAGTAAAACTTTTGAATTTTTCTTAAGAGGTACCCCAAACTATATAATTATAATTTCTGGTCTCACCAAATCTAGATCTGGCTGGGCATAGTGGCAACTAACTGTGTAATCCTAGTGACTGGGAAGAATGAGGCAGGAGAATTGCAAGTTCCAGGCCAGACTTGGCAATTTAGCAAGATCTTATCTCAAAATAAAATAAAAAGGCCTGAGGATGTAGTTCAGACATACAGTACCCAGTACTGGAAAAAAACAAAACAACAACAACAAAAAAAAAAAACACCAAAAAATCAACTAAATCTGGATCAGCCATTATTCAGAGGCTACATGTGTCCTTTAGAAAGCTGGTCTGGTTTTCCTTTTCCCAACACTCCCTGTGAAGAATGGAAGAACAGAAACCCAGACAACTGATCTCCAACTTCCCAGCCTGAGAGAGGAATGATCTGCTCACCAGATTCTGCCTGATGAACATTTAACCACCATTTGCATCCAAATGGGGGTTCTCTGAGGAAGCCCCCAGCTCTTTGCATTCCCCACTTTCATTCATCTTTTAGGAAGAAAAGCCTTGACTGCCAGAAAGTCAAGATGGGGACCTGGAGGGAGTACTGCAAGGCCCAACTCCTGAACTTTCCCTGGCTSTCTTCCTAAAGAGCCACTGACAGGATCTGGGGAAGGAATGAAAAGGAGGAAGGGCAGAAGAGAAAGACGAGGGAATTTTCAAATGATTTCATTCTTTAACCTGGTAAAACATTTAGCAGACTTCATTATTAACCATGCCATTTTTCATTATTTCACTTTATTATAAATTTGGGAGTCTAAAAAATTCTTTTTTAAAAAAAGGTCAGAATTTGAGCTGGGCACCATGTAATCCCAGCAGTTTGGGAGGTTGAGGCAGGAGTATCGTGAATTCAAAACCAGCTTCAGCAATTTAGGGAGGCCCTAAGCAACTCAGTGAGACCCTGTCTCTAAATAAAATATTTAAAAATAGGGCTGGGGATGTGGCTCAGTAATTAAGCATCCCTGGGTTCAAATTCCTGGTACCCCCCCCCCAAAAAAAGTTAGAATTTTCTATCTTGAGAAAGAGCTGATACATTACAATGAACAGAAAGTTTCCCCTTCTGTTTCTTATTTGAATTGCTGAGAACACTGCACAATTCAAGTTATTATTTTGGTATTSAGCAGAAAAATATACAAGACCTAAAAAAACACAAATTGGCTGAAAGTCTTCACCTTAAGCAGTAAGTGACAATGTGGGTAGAGGAAACATCTTAGAATCTCTTGTAGTCTTAAAGAAATGTCTAACCTTCCAACAGTATTTTCTATTTTAATATTAAAAAATAATGAGTCACAAAATTATTTTTATAATGAATGCTWCTTTAAAAGGAACAGAATACATATATTCTGTTTCTCATATGCATTCAATGATATTTTGAGGTCTTTCACATTCTTGATATTATAAAAAGTTTTGTAGTGGATTTAGGACTGTGTGATTCTTGGATAAAGCATTTATTTGTCTATTTGAATCCAGGTATCTACAGCCTCTTTCATTCCATGCCACCTCTAGTGATCCTAATAGCATAGAATACCAAAAGGACAGAGACAGGGAAGCTCAGAGATGATAATTAACTTGCCTAACATCCCATGGCCAGTTGAGTGACAGAACATCTATATGATTTCCATGTCTCAGCTTTAGAATTTAATATATTCCACTCTGAATTCTACCAGTTGCTAGTTTTAGAATCTAGGGCCAATGACTTAACCTTGCAGTTTCAGTTAGTTATTTTGTCATTCAACAAGTATCTGACAATCACCTTCACATCGTGGTTCCAAAGATGTAGTACAATGRCCAAGTGTTCAACAGAAGGCCAAGTGCACAGTAAGTGCTTAATAAGTATTAATTCCACTTTACCATATTTATAGTTTACATTGGAGAGAGAGAGAGAGAGATGGAATGGGTTTCTGTTAGCATGTATAATTCAGCTTGACCTATTAATTAATAAATTATTTCATTTATTCAACAAAACTTTTGTTAAGCATCTACTGCGTACCAGGTATTCTTCTGCTTGTTTGGATAAACCAGTGAAGTAAACAAAGATTCTTGCTCTCATGAAGCTTACATTTTGTCAATAAAGACAGATAATACGCCAGGACATAATAAAAAAAAAAAGTTAATCATGTAGTACCCAAAAGGGCAATAAAGAGCTATTAACTAAACAGAAGATAAACTGGAAACATGGTCGGGTTGGGTGGCAATAGAGTGGTCAGGGTAGGCTTCATTGAGAAGGTAATATTTAGGCAAAGACTTGAAGAATGTGAAGGGGTGAGTGTGTAGGTATATAAGGGATTAGCAGTGGAGGCACAGGGAATAGCTAGTGCCCAGGCTCTCGAGCAGGAGTATACCTGGTATGCCACAAGAAGAATACAAAGGCCAGAGTGCATGAGGGAGGAAGAAGAAAAGGTGATGATAACACCAGAGAAGTAACAGGGCCCAAATCCAGTAAATCTCTGTTGATCATTTTAAGGATTTGGACTTTGTTAGGGTCTGGAGATGAGGTGTCACCCAACAGCTCCTGTGTTAAAGCAGAAATGTTCAGAGGTGAAGTGATTGGACTGTGGGAGCTGTGACATGATCAGTCCATCCTAGTTTAAACAGACTGGGTAGTCACTGTAGGCAGGTGGGGGCTTGGCTGGAGGAGGGGGGTCACTGAGGACATGACCTGAAAGGGTTCGCTTTCCCTACTGCCCATTTCCCCTTCTCTCTCTGTTTCCTGACCCCACCATAACATGAGCAGCTTCCCTCCACGGGGCCCTTCCGCCTTATGTGCTGCCTCACTTTGGGCCCAGAGTAATGGAGTCAGCCATCTATGAGAGAAAAAGAAAAACTGAAAATGGCATCAAGGGTTTTGGCCTGAGCAACTGGAAGTGTGAAGTGACCAAAGACTGAGATGGGCAAATCTTAGATGGAACAATCTTGGTGGAAGAGGAAACCAGGAGTTCAGTTTAGACATGTGAAGTTTGAAATATTTATTAGATAACCAAATGGGTATGTTGAATGGATAGTTGGATATTTGAATTTGGTATTTGGGGGAAAGATATGTACTGGACATAGAAGTTTGGGAGTTATCAACATAGAGATGGAATTTAAATCCTGAGCTGAGATTAGATCATCAGTTGAGTGAATCTAGACAGAGAAAAACTTAAGAACTGAACCATGGAACATCCAAATATTTAGAGACTAGAGGGAAAAGGAAGAAACCAGTCACAACAAAAAGGAGTATCCTACAAGGTGGGAGGAAACCAAAGGGTATAGTACACTAGAAACCATGTGAAGAAATAGTCCAAGGAGGGCCAAGCAGCCCAGGGTACCACTGGCTTCTTTTCAGCTTGAGGAGTGAGAATGGACTATAAAAGGTTCAGTGGTGGCGGCCTCAACCAGAGCACTATCAGTTGAGTGGCAGGAGTGAAATTCTGAACAGAATGGGTGTCAGAGAGAAAGAGAGAAGAGAAATTTGATGCAATGGCTACAGATCATTTTTATCAAAAACTGTTGTTGCAGTGGAATGCCATGAAATGAAACCAAAGCTAATGGTTAACAGGTGGTCAAGAGAGCATTCTACTTTATAAGAAAATCTACTGTGTGTGCGGGTGAGAATCTGTGGAAACAGATGGGATGGCCAACCAGGCGGATGGATACAGCTGGCAAGTAAGGTGTGGGGAGAGCCCCGGGAAGGCCACCTCTCATCCTATGAAGAAATCAGGTCCTCAGTTGGGAATGAAGATGGGAGAGACATTAACTCCAGTCCTTAAAATGTCTACTCTGGTATATGTTTTCTTATCCTGGTTCATTTCTATGTCCCATTATTGCTCAGCTTCTTTCCCCCCCTAGATCTCTAGTGAGAGGCAGGAAAGCAAAGGGGTGGGCATGGGATAGGCTGAAGAAGTAGTGTGTGAGCATGTGTGAGCTTGCATGTGCCCTGAATCATCCAAGAGGCAAACGATAGAAATTTTTAAAAAATACAATAAGAGAACCTAGAATTTTAAAATTTCAGTGAATGCCTTTGTCCAAAAAAGGGCAATTGGGTCTCATTCCCAACAAATACCACAACTTGTTTCCTCCTTGTTACTTTTGTTTGATTTGTTTTTGTTCCCAATATAGTACTCAGCATTAATATTGCCAAATGAAGGTCACCTAGGATCCAAATCTTCCATTCAGGCAACTTTAGATGGATTTCTTATTAAGAGAAGGGGAAATGAAATAACTTCAAAGTTTTTTTCCTGCCTAATGGAGCTGTGCTAACTTTGTACCAATGAAGAGTATGTAAAGTTTCTTTGGGTAAAAATTATTAGGCACTACCACCAGTTTTATCTTTAAAATGGTATAATGGGAATCTGTTGGAGAATCTTGAAAACTTTAGGATTTACATTTAAGGATTTTATGTTTTAGGAACAAGAGATCTGGAATAATCTTTTTTCAACTTGCTCATGACTTAGGCTAAACACATTAACTTCTGAAATCCAATTGAGCTCTCTTTTCCTGTAAGAACTATCTTTGAAAAAAAAAGATAATAATACAGGCAGTTTCCATTTATTTCTTATAATTGTGATAAATACACAAACATAAAGTTTACCATCTTAATCATTCCTAAATGCATAGTTCTGTGGCATTATGTACATTCACATTGCTGTAAGCCATCATTACCATCTTTCCCCAGAACTATTTTCACTTTGAAACTCTGTGCCTGTTAGGCACTGACTCCCCATTCCTGGTCATCAGTCCCTGACAACCTTCATTCTACTTTCTGTCTCTATGAATCTGATGATTCAAGGTGCCTCATAAGGGAATTCATACAGCATTTTGGCCTTTTGTATTATGCTTTTTTCACATAGCACAATGTCCTCAAGTAGAATGACCTGACTTTTAATTCCTCACCCCTCTCGTGGACAGACAGTTTCAGCACCATGATCCATTTTACGGTGAGTTACTTACGTGGGGCACTTAGATCAACAGAATCATCCCGGAAGAAAATCTCACAGGGCTGTGTACTAAAGGACACTGCGAGACTTGCTGCTGTCATCCTGGGAGTAAATCAAACACAGCCTGGCATTAATTCATTAGAACAGGTCTCAAAGGCATTGACTGGGAAAGATCAAGTTGTAAGTGAAAGTAGAAACTATTCCACATTTTGGTTATGTATCTAAAATAAAATGGTATTATCTATCAGCAAGATGCTATTTCTGAAATAGTGTTCTGCTGAGAGCATTTCTTAGATAAAACTCTCCTAACTGTCCTTTCCAAATAGTTGAATTGAACCATAAGTGTTCTGCATTCTTCTGGTTTGTCAGAGCACCTTAGAGATACATGAGGTGTACCTTAACAACATTTGTCTCAACTTCCTTTCTTCATGGCAAAGAATAATAAATGAGTTTAGTTCAAAACTCTTGGCAGTGGTAGAAAGCATTGGCATAAACATGAGGGGGACCTTCTTCTTTAGCCCCCAAAACTTGTTATGGGACCAACAGTGAAAAATCCAAGGGTAGGACTTTCTAAGTTCCAAAAGGTGGGATCACTTTATGAATTTTCCCCCTCTAAGGAGCATAATTAATATAGTTTATGCTTTATTTATTTATTTAATTTTTTTCCTATAGTTGAAAGATGAGGTTAAAATACCCATATGGTCAAGCCTACATTGTTTTCCTATATACTGGATATTAACAAACCACAAGCGTCTTCTACTATGTTGGGTTTACTGTGTGCACTCTCCAGTTGAGGGGTTTAAGTTTGTACAACAAGTTACAGCGGCTTTCATCAACCACAACAACACCTTTACACGTGGTGTCCAATTTCCCTATGTGACTCCAGTTCTGTTCCTAAGGCTGACCACTGAGAATCAGGTACCCCTACCTCCTGCCAAGATGGGAATCAGCCCTTCCAGCTCAGAGGAGGGTTTCTAGGGACTGTCTAAAGAGGAGAGAGAATGGTTGAACTAGGCAGGTAGCAGGAGAGCGGCCTTTATTTATTTTCTTTTTAGATATTTATAATGATGCACCTATTTCACCACGACAAACTTAAGAAAGAGGTTGAAATGCTCCAAAGTAATTAAGACAATCAGATAATGATTCTGAATTTTGCTCTATACCCAGAAGCATTTGCTTCTGGGCTTTCTGAAATCCCTTTGTACTATAGTCCCAGGCCAGAGACCCAACTCTGAGGATCCCACCAAATCAGTTCTGGCCACTTGTCCCCCCTGCACCCCCCCCAAAAAAAAAAACAAATGGAAAAAGTAATGATGAGAAGCAGGAAAGGAACTTTAATCAAAATAGTCATATTGAAAAGACAAGTGAGATCAAGCATCTCGGCCCTGTCTTCAGGGTATTGACATGAGCTTTAGATTTAAATAGAGAAAGAATTGGGGCAGGGGGCAAGAGGTGTGCATAATTGAGCAGCCTTGGTCAAACTGGTCTGGTTGTTCATTATCTCAGTTCTGGTTCTGTGTGAGGTTACTCTGGAGAAGTCCTTATTATTACTTGAGAAGCTTTGCGGGGTATTTATTTTTCAGACCTGTGATCCTAGAAGTGGGTGATTCAGGTACCCTGAGATGACTTCTCCTGCTGGGGAGGCAGCCTTATCATGGGGGGATCTGCCTGCCAGTTTCTTTGTTCTGGAAGGTGTAGGGCAATGACTGGAGACTTACAGGTGCTGCTCCAGAGGTCTGGAASAGGACATTGTAAAAGCTGGCAGTTAAATGTCCCTGTCAGGACTTCTTTAAAAAGTCAGCATCTCTAAGCCTCTGTTATATGTTTACCATTTATATATCCTCTTTTCCTTCTTTCTTTGTCATAGTGAAATAGGTGCATCATTATAAATATCTAAAAAGAAAGTAAATAAAGGCCCCTCTCCTGCTCCCTGCCTTGTTCATCATTTCATTCCTTCCTGGTAAATCCCTATGATTAGTTTCTTGGGTAATTTTGCAGAGGTGCTTTATCAGTGAGAGTGATTATGTTTTTTGTACCAGAGATTGAACCCAGGGACACTTAACCACTGAATCATATCCCTAGCCCTTTCTATATTTTATTTTGAGACAGGGTCTTGCTTAAGTTGCTTAGGGTCTCTCTAAGTTGCTAAAGTTGGCTTTGAACTTGTGGTCCTCCTGCCTCGGCCTCCTGAGCCAGTGGGATCACAGGCATACACAATGGTGCCTAGTATGATTACATAGAATTTGCATATTGTACACAGTGTTCTACATTGATTATCCCTTTTAATATATCTCAGGGACATTTCCATCACAGTGTATAGATGTATCACAAGGTATTATTCTCTGAAATATTTGCTATTCCAAATATTACTCAAGTACTTGAGATATCTGCAGATATTTCTAGGGCAAAGAAGAGGGGTAAATTCCCAGAAATGGAATCGCTGAGTCCAGGCTAAATGCATTTGTATTTCTAATAAATTTTGCCAAATTAACTGCTCTAAATCTTTCTTTTCCCATGTCATCACCAACCAAAGGTAAGAAATTCTGATAAATGAAGAACAGTTTTAATATCTTATAAAGTTGAGGATACATTCATATGTTTGAGGACCATTATATTTCTTTCTCTATGAACTGTTTATTATATTTTACCTGTTTTTCTATTGCTTGGTGGGCTTTTTCAACTTGTTTTTTTTTTTCTGATTTCTGGAAATATCCCAAATTTTCACTTTTCTCATTTGAGAGATTAACCCTTTGCTATGAAATCTTTATTTTTGCACATTTATACTGTGTTTATATATTTTTTTCCCACTAAGGTCCATTTCCTCTATGTTAAAATTCATAGTTCAGTATCATGAGTTTTGACAAAGGTATTTACTGTATACCTGTTTTCCAAATTTCCAAATAAATTTCCTGTATATCTGAAATCTCCTTGAAACTTTCCAGTCAAAACCTCAATGGAAAGCCATTGCTCTGATTGACATAAATGTGCATACTCCTGTGTCCTGTGTCCTCGTGTGCAGGGAAACAGGGACTGTGCTGCAGGGCATGTGCAGGTCAAAATGCTGTTTGGCATGTACTTAATGAACTTGGGGAGTAAGGGGGAGTCTGAACATTCCTGGGAAGGAAAGATGTGAGAAAGAATAAGGAGAAGGTGTTCTTCACAAAAACCATAATGAAGAGAACAGACTCACCTCTTTTCAAAAATCTCACTATGTTCCAATATTCTATCTTTTCTGCTTTCCAGCTCCTGAATTTCTTCTAGAAGACCTCTTTTGTAGGTATTTTTAATCCTATAGCATGTGGAAAGATAAAAAGAACATAGCATATGAGCTTTACTTGCTTGAGCAACTCTTCCTTGCCCTCTTAGATAGCTGTCTGGGCATCCTCTGATGATTGGTGATGTGAAGGAACATGGTATGACACCACACCAGCAGCCTCCATGTGCAACCAGGCTGTTTCCTAGCACCTGAGAAGCATTACCAGAGGGGCACAGGGTAGTGTATGTTAGCAGCTGGCAGTCCCCAAACTTCTCACTTTCCATGAAGGCTGCAGCTCTGTTGGATGCATGTCCAGGCTATAGAAGCACCCTGACTATGGAGGGTAGAACTTTCCTGTATTAGGCACACAGAGCACTGAAGATTCATAGGACTGAGATGTGACTACTTATACCTTTTTCTGCTGTGAAAACTGCTTGAGAATCTTGATGCTCAGGTTCTTATTCAGCTGTGTCCTGTCTTCTGTACTTACTTAAATCAAAGAACACTAGGGCTAGCTGTGCCGTTTATAGCCATTATAATGGCAGAGAGGAAGTCTCTGTAGTTACTGTAGCAAAGATCAATACATTTGATCTCAAATATACAGGTGACTCAAAGAGATGCTTTCCCTTTCTTTGTCCACTTGTTTGCAATGGGGCATGTCAATAGTTGGGCATTCATCATTTATCCACTCATGGGTTCTTAAATATACTTCGTGAGGTATAATTAGATATCATCCTACTCCTCGTAAAGGAAAGGTGTCTGCTGACTTACACTGCCCAGCTCTGTCCTGCACCCCCCTGATAATGGTTCTAAGCTGCTAGAAAAACAGTATCTGGGTGGCACACAGAGGCTGCGCAGGTTGCCTTCTCAAAAAGATAAGGGACTCAGCTGGTGCRGCGACTCTGTGGGGGCTGAGATAGAATGTTGTTAAAGATCTCAGTAAAAGTTCCTCTGAGGAAGTGAGTGGAACTGGGGTCTGGAGGAGATGGAGGCAGTAACTAAGGGAGAGGGGAAGAATATTCCAGATAGAAGAAACATACCCAGAAGCCCAGCAGTGGCAAAGTGTAGCTAGAGGAGATGGAAGGCATGGGCACAAAATAGGCCATCGATGGCCCTGATAAAGAGAGATTTGGCCTTGTGGGCTGGGATTGTGGCTCAGCAGTAGAGTACTCGCTTAGCAYGTGCGGGGCCCTGGGTTCGATCCTCAGCACCACATAAAAATAAATGAATGGAATAAAGGTATTGTGTCCAACTACAACTAAAACAATAAAAAAAAAAAGAAAAGAAAAAAAGATTTGGCTTCGTCCCTGAAAGGAAGCCCAGCAGAGGCATCTATCAGGAATAGCTCACAAGCCACTGTATCAGCCATGGTTTTCTTTACCTCCAACCAAGTCTCATGAGAAAGTGCAAGAGACTTTAGGATATCAGTAAAACTTGGTGGCTTATAAATTTTGGTCTGGCCAACATGGGAAAGGATGGGAAGAAAAAAGAGGACTGATGGATTTGGAGAAATTAGAGGTTAATGGTCAAGTTTTGGTACAAAAAAGTTAAAAAATGTGATACCAGACTTAACAAGATAACATTATGCAAAAAATTAGCAAACCTAAATGCGAATGTATACCTGAGGAAAAACGCTGTTTGCTGTGTATCTAAGAGGTGTGCTTCCATTTAAGGAATTTTCTAAGACGCTCCTTAGAAAATGAAGCTATCATTCAACCCTCCTTCCAAAAACAATAATTTCCCTAATATTCTGACTCCAAAGCCTATGTCACTCTGCTCTCATTTTATTTATCTTTTGTATTCCTTTCTATCAAAGTAAAATAATGAATAAAATATAAACATATAGATACTCTACCATGCTCCTCTCACAATTGACCCCAAGGGCTTATCTATTATTAAGACTTGCCTGGAAATGACTTATGAGAAATAGCAAAGCAAGGAAGGAGAAATATTTAACAAAATGTGGCTTAGGTTTTGGAAAAGAGATGTAAGACCATGTTAAAGTTCATGGCTATTCATTGTGAAAGAGCTCTACTTATTATGTTTATCTAAGGACATTTTTGGCCATCACAACCTAAAGAAAGGACAATAACAACAAAGGAGAGCTTTTGTAAGGCAGTTAAAGTTGAGGCACAGAATATATTTGCTGTGTATCTAAAATGAGTGACTCTGGGTTATGGAGGGAAAATATGGACATCTTCTAATACCTCGGAATGGACTCTATCAAATGGGGTATATTTCATTTATTCTTTTCCACAGAATAAAGAACCAAATTATAGTCTTTATGCAAGAAAAATAGATAGACAACACTATGTGGAATGAAATTTCTTAACACACACTTTATATATATTTTCTGAGTTAGAGTTTTTTATGTGATAAAGTGCTTTCATTTAATATGTAGATTTCTACATTAATATCAGATTTTAAAGTGTATCATTTTATATGAAAAAGATATTAAAATAACATTGAACCACATTCGTTTCCATTATCATGTGTATTTGACACTTCCCAAACTCAGAACCACCCCTCACTGTAAATCATATAAATAGCTGACTTGAAAATTGGCTATTGTGGCTCAGAAAGCAGCACCCCAAAATATATCATTTTAGATGTCAAATTGAGCAGCAAACCAAGAAGGGCTTTCTCCCAAGGTCCCTTCTGCACCTAAAGATGAGATCTGCCAATAAGAAACAAAATTGCCTTCAAATCYTCCTACCGAGATGTCATTAACCAAGGAGAATTAAAGCTCATAGCACCAAGGAAGAGACTGAAAATCAAGCACCACACCCAGAGTCCAAGGAAGTTTGTCCCAGGTCTCTGTCTATTCTCTAGGCTCACTTTCTTCCTTAAAAACAATTGATTGACCCTCTAAAATTCCCTACAGCACCCCACTGACCTCTTTTCTAAGAAGGGCATTGTTTTAAGTGTCAACCATCCAGCCCTTCTTTGAACTTCATATTTTGTATGGCTCGTATGAATATGTGCACACGTTAATAAGTTTGTGGACCTTACCTTGTCTTAATCTGCCTATTAATTTGTTTCAGTAGGCCAGATTACCAGGTTTCAGAGAAAAAGTCTGCATTTCTATATGCTGTTCAGGAAYGACCTCTCAGATGATAGGTATCCCTCCAGCCACCAGGCTGTCTTCAGATTGCAAGAAGCTGCACCCCTGTGCAGCAGTTGGGAGACTATTCACAATGATAACTAATATATATATATATATATTATATATATTAGTTCTCAGCAGTTCCTGAGAGGCAGAGTCTGAAATCTCATCTCAAACAGAAAGAACAATGTCTGACCTACTTATTGTTTTAGCCTTTCACTTTCAGCACAAGCATCTTGCTTTTTCAAGGCCTCTCCATTGTACCACCTCCTCAGCAACCAGCTTTCCTTCTGTGATCTCTTGGGCTGGGCTCTAGATGGGGAGAGGTGTGTTTCAAGCACTTGTGCATTTCTTAATTGCTGAAATACTGCTCATTTTCAACAGTAATGCTTCCTTTTTCTCTCCACTGAAATTATATTTCGTCTATATTACCAAATAAATAGGCATTTGTGGCCTTTACTAACAAGAAAACAACATTTCTTTAAGAAAATGTCTCCTCAATAATATTTCTTAAGGATATATTTATAATGGCAATACTACAATGTGTAGAATTTAATGATTCTAAAAAGGTAAACATAGCTTCAAAATGTTCCAAGATTCAAAAACTCATGTTTCAAGATTGACAATGATATGCTTATTTTGTCTTTTTGTGTATGTGTGTGTGTGCATTTGAAGTTAATCAATACTTGATTCATTTGTCATTGTCTAAATGATAGCATCTAGCACCTAATCAATTACTTTGTTCCTCACCAATTATTTCTGGGAATCAAATTAAAAAGTTTCAGGTAGGATGCAGGTAAGGAGACAGGAAATACTGCATGTTTTCCAAAGTTAAATTTTAACTGGACATTAAAATTGCCCTGGGTCAAGTTCTTAACAGTAAGCTTTCTCTTCCCAGAAAATGAAGACACTTCAGACTGATTAATTAACTAATGCTTATTTTAACTCGAGAGTCTTCTGCATATTCTAGTTCCATATACACTCTACCTCTCCAGCATTCTAGCTCTGCTTCCAGGAACACTTTGGTATTGAGTAAATACCAAATACCTTCAGGTGATGAATTATTTAGCACCTAGATTGAAAGTGTCTGAATAAAGGGAAATGATTTATTTGGGCTGAAGCATGAGAGGTAAGTGCTTATCCCAGCTCTGGGTAGTTTGTGGTTATTTATTTTGATACTGGGGATTGAACCCAGGGACACTTTACCATTGAGCCAAATCCCAGCCCTTTTAATTTTGAGATAGGGTCTTGCTTAGGATCTGTCTAARTTGATGAGGGCTGGCCTGGAACTTGTGATCCTCCTGCCTCAACCTTCCAAGTCATTGAGATTACAGGCATGTGCCACCTTGGGATTATTTTTAATAAACAAGATCACAAATCTATTAATACAAAGAAGGGCCCATAACTGTTCATTAAATTAGAAACTTTACCTCTTCACATGACAAAGTTTGTCAAAATGTTTATATTTCAAAAATGGGATGAGACTTGGGCTATGGAGATATTCCAGGAATTGTAAATCCACAGACATTTGTTTTGTTCTCATCCCTGAAGACTTGTATTTACATTCAAGGGGTGAGGACCCACAATCTTTCCCTGTCGTCTTTCAAGGAGAATTTGTTGATATTAAGGAGCAAAGTTTCCCTCCTCTCTCTCGAGGGGCTGGAGGATGGATGCCCCTCTCCAACACAAACTCCCAGGTTCCTATTTTTGGTTTTCTCTYGATGGTATGAACTTGGTACTTTCAGGCTATTCCACCCACTCCTCACTCACTACATCACCCAGAAGGGTGAAAATCAGGGCCAGGGGAACTAATGTGGCTACTGCTGTGGGTAAGTAATGAGTGTCCATTGCTGCCCCTGAAACCTCATGTCCACTTTCAGGGTAATACCAATGTATCAGTACCTTTGCCCCATTCCCATAGCGAACTTTGGTTAATACCAATATGAAGGGAGTTCTTCAAAAGGTTTCTTAAGACTCTCAGACAAGATAATTCTTTTTGAAGGTGGAATGAATGAAGAGATCATATATGGACACACAGTGAGAGAAGAAGGGTGGGAAGGAGCGGAGAGCAAGGCAAGTAGAAGGGAGGGGAGAAGGAGAGAGGGAAGAAAACATGGTATGTATTTTCTGGCAATGCTGGGAAAGATTCAGTTCTCCACTTTGGGTTCCACAAATAATTCTGTATTTTCTGATACATAGAGAAATTAAGGAAGAATTAAACCTTAAAAAACAAAATTAATATTATCCCATTCAGTATATGCCTTTCTCTGTTCGTTAATGAGTTTGAAATTTGTTTTAGAATTTTGTTGTTCATGTTACAGAATATGTGTAATAATTCATATTATAAACAGTTTCTGTTTTAAAGCTGTGTAATTCCATAAATCCTTTACCTTAATATTAGGGATTATATATAGTTTAAAGTTCCTTCCACCTCTGCCACCCCAGCCCTTAGTGGACTTGGTTGAAATAAATTGAGAAACTCTAAACCAACATTTAAATATTTTGGGAAAACTATATTTGAGAGGGTTTTACTCCATTTTTTTTCAAAGTAAAGAATGTTTTTCCATTGAGTATGTACCTCTTACTATTATTTTTAGTTTTTAATCTGTGATCCTCTGATTTGGTTTTGACTCTAATAAATTAGATAAAATTGAAGTCACACTTCAAAAGAGTAAAGAAATGGGTCAGTGTTTGGAAAAAAATCATGAGTGCGGTGATATCACCACAAATTTCATATTCCCTCTTGTGCACTTTCCTTCCATGTTTTTCCCATATAAGTTGATGGCCAGTAAATCTCCAGTGGCAAGAAAGCAGAAGAAAATTTCTTTCTTAAAAGCCTTGTGACATTCATATGCATAAAGGGATACTCAGTGTGGTTTGAAAGACATATACATCATTGGAAAAGGGTAGTTGAGTATGCCAATAAACTTTTGGGCTACTACTTCTTTTTTCAACTTACAATTTCCAGAAAAAATTCTGAATCAGGCAGGTAGTAGGGACTAACAAAAAACCCATCCAGAAGTGTGGACAACTCAGAACCATATTGATCTGCAAAGAAACAGAAATAAAGAATGATTGAAGAAGAATCTTTGCCTTTGTCAACATTTAGTGCCTGTACAGCTATCCATTTCCTCCCCTCCACCACAACTGGCAATGCCAGAAAAGATATGGAGGCAGTTGTATAAAACTGAGAACCGCTAATTCAACACAGATGTGTGAAAACTAAAGATGGTATTAACAAATTTAATTCAATGTATTCTAAAAACAAGCAATCAAATAAATATTTGGACCAAGTAGGTTTCTATCCCAGGAATGCGAGGATGGGTCAGTATTATCTTACTAAGCAATACAACTTTAACTGCTGTGTTATATGTAAAGCAATTTTGCCATTGTATTCCCTAAGAGAATTCACTCTTCCTTTGGCCTAGCACATTAATTGGTTGTTGACTGATTATGTTAGTTCAATTAGAGACCATGTGAGTTGAGACTCAGTGAGGCTCTCTCTATTCCTCCTTTGCCTTTGACCCTTGCCAAGGTTGTTTTTTTTTTTTTTAACTGAGTACCTGCTATGTTCTTTAACTTTACACTCCTAACAAGTCTCAGTCTCTAATATTTGTCTCCTGATTTTTCTCAGTACTCTGTTATTCTCCTGTGTTAGTTTCCTACCTTATACTGTCCGAGTATTTGCCAGATGGACAGAAGGGGAAGCTGAGTGCCTGAGGTCTCCCAATCATCTGTCAGAACATCTTCAGGGTCTGTGGTTCTATCAGATTTGGTATTTGGTATTTCTTGTGGATTTTTTAAATTTATATTTATTGTTATGTAGAGTTGCTCATAAAATCCTCTTAACACATTTGCAATATTTGTGTTAATTTGGTTTAACCCAGAGAAAGACACCATGACAGGTTTACAGGAACAAGATTTTCATTGGCAGAGAAGGCCTTCAGACCATACTGCCAGACGGACACCTATGGAAGGAGAGAGGCTAGGAGAAAGTAGAGAAGGAGAACCTGGTCATCAATTTTATGAATCTTTTCAAAGCATCAAATCCGGTCTTTGTTGATTCTACATTGGGAAAATTGATCTCTTGTTTTTATTTCCTGTTTTTAATTTTCTGAGGTTTGATTCTTTTTTTTTTTTTTTTGATCCAGGGATTGAGCTCAGGGGCACTCAACCACTGAGCCACATCCCCAACCCTTTTTTGTATTTTATTAGAGAAAGGGTCTCACTGAGTCGCTTAGAACCTCACTGTTGCTGAGACTGGTTTTGAACTTGCGATCCTCCTTAGTCTCCTGAGCCACTGGGATTATAGGTGTGTGCCACCACACCTGGCTGGAGGTTTGATTCTTTTTCTAGCTTTTGGAGTTGGAAGCTTAAGTTGATTTTTTTTCAGGCTTTCTTTTAATATATGCATTTCATACTACAATTTTCCCAATTAGAAATGATTCAGCCAGAGAATACCAGTTGATTATATATTTTTCTTTAAATAACTTCTTTTTGGTTCTTTATCAAATGTATCTGTATTTTCTCCTTCAATGTCTTTTAAAATTTGCATATTTTTCTTTTAAATTATTTCAATTATCATTTTCAGATGGCATTTTAATTTCTCATCCTTAATCTACTGTGCTATAATCTGACTCTTTAAAGAATCCTTATGTCTTCAGTAGGGTAATTTTTCTTTTGTAGGAGTATATTGTATCTGGAAAAGTATAATGTATTGTAAATGGCTTAATTATTATTTTTGGGGAGGAATTCAAGACATTTTCCCCAAACCCACATGAATTTTCATATGATTGTATTGGTTTGGGATTCTTCAGCTGGGAGGAAGGTGTCTTTTTCTTATAAAGACTTAGAGCCCAGGAACCAAACAGATGACAAATATTATTACTTTTTGTCTTTAAATTTTCTTGTCTCCTTTCAAGAAGGGGCAACACTTTGTGGCTCTTGAATTACTGCAGAGTCTTTCTTTTACAACCCCAATAGGCCCCCCAAACACTACATCCTATCCCAATGAGATTGTTAAAATAGAGTGTTCTGTCTCCCAGTCTTATATCAGTATTTAATACACCCTGGACAGTCAATGTCACCTCAAGTTTCTGCTCTGTCTTTGAGTCTGATAAGGACTAGTCAGAGGACTGGATAAGTCATGAGGAATATCAAAAATCCTAAGAAACAGGGCTCGGGCAGTGTGGAAGTGAGAAAGTAGAAATTCAAGCTGAGAGATCCAGTTATCACTGGATTTGATTGTAAGTGATTCTTTATAACTTTTGCAGAAAGTGATAAAGTGATAAAGGCAAAAACCAAATTTTAATGATTTAGGTGAAAATATTTAGGTAAGAGAAGGAAATTAAAGGGATAAAAATAGGAAAAGAAGAGCTCAAATTATCTCTGTTTGTTAATGGCAGGATTCTATATTTAGAAGATGCAATAAACTCCACTAGAAGACTTCTAAAATTCTTCACCAAAGTAGAAGGGTACGAGATAAGCACTCAAATCAATTGTGTTCCTATACTCCAATAAAGAATCTCCTGAAAAAATAAATTAGGAAAACTATCCCATTCATAATAGTCTCAAAAATGTACTCTAACAAAGGAGGTAAAGGATATCTACAATGAAATGATAGAATTCTAAAGAAAGAAATTGAAGAAAACCTTAGAAGATGGAAAGACCTCCCATGTTGTTGGAGAGGCAGACCTAACATTGTCAAAATGTCCATACTACCACAAATTCTATATAGATTCAATGCAATTACCATCAACATTCCAATGACATTATTCACAGAAATAGAAAAAGCAGTTCTGAAATTCATTGGGAAAAAATAAGAGACCCAGAATAGCCAAAGCAATCTTTAGCAAAAAGAGCAAAGCTGGAGGCATCACCATACCAGACCTCAAAATACACTAAAGAGTTATAATAACAAAAACAGCATGGTACTGGCACCAAAACAGATAAGAAGACCACTGGAATAGAATAGAAGAAACAGAGACAAACTCACATAAATACAGTTATACCAAACAAAGCGAAATGTATGTTTACATTTTTAATAAATGGCCTTGGGAAAACTGGAAATCCATATGTAGAAGAATTAAATATGATCCCTGTCTCTCACTCTGCATAAAACTCAACTCAAAGTGGTTCAAAAATCTAGGAATTAGCTGGGCGTGGTGGTACATGCCTGCAATCCCAATTGCTCAGGAGGCTGAGACTGGAGGATCACAAGTTCAAAGCCAGCCTTATCAAAAGCAAAGTGCTAAGCAACTTATTGAGACCCTGTCTCTAAATAAAATACAAAATAGGGCTGGGGATGTGGCTCAGTGTTCAAGTGCCCCTGAGTTCAATTCTTAGTACAAAAAAAAAAAAAAAGAAAGAAAGAAAGAAAAAGATAAAAGAAAAAAAAATCTAGGAATTAGAACATAAACCCTGCCATTACATTTTGGCACAGGAACCGACCTCCTTAACACAATTCCTAAAGTGCAAGAAATAAAATAAAAAAGCAATAAGTGGGATGGCATCAAATTTAAAAATTTCCACACAAGTGAAGGAAACAAGAGTATAGAACACGGGAGAAGATCTTTGCCACCTGCTTCTCAGATAAGGGTATTAATATCCAGGATATACAAAGAACTCAAAAAACTTAAAACCAAAACAAAACTAAACTAAACTAAACAGATACTTCTCAAAAGAAGAAACACAAATTTCAGACAAATATATAAAAAATTGTTCAACATCTCTAGGAACTAGAGAAATGCAAATTAAAACTACATTGAAATTTCATATTACTCCAGACAGAAAGACAATTATCAAGAAGACAAATAATGAATGTTGGTGAGGATGTGGGGGGAAAGGTTCTATTATAGGAATGACCTAGTTGTCTCACTCCTCAATATATACCCAAAAGGCTTAAAATCAGCCTGTTTCAGTGACACAGCCACATCAATCTTTATAGCAGCACAATCCACAGTAGCCAAACTATGGAACCAATCTAGGTGCCCTTCAACAGGTGAATGATGAACAAAATATGGTATATATACACAATGGAATATTGCTCATCCATAAATAAGAATGAAATCATGGCATTTCTGCTAAATAGATGGAACTGGAGACTATCATGCAAAGTGAAATGAGCCAGTCCCATAAAGTCAAAGGTTGAAAGTTTTTTTCTGATATGTGAAAACTAATTTTAAATAAAGGGTTAGTGGGGTGGGGGAGGGGAAAGAAAGAGAGAAAGTAAAAAAAAAGGAGAGGGAATTTCATCAAAATAAAGATCAGTGGAGTAGACAAAGAGGATGGAGGAAGGGGGGGAAAGGAAGAACAGTGGAATGAATCTGACCAAACGTTCATATGTACATATATGAACATAGAATAGTGAATCCCAGCATCAAGTATGTCCTCAAGACAGTAACTTTAAAAAAAAATCTACATATACATTACAAGGGCTGGGGATGTGGCTTAAGTGGTAGTACGCTCGCCTGGCATGCACGGGGCGCTGGCTTCRATCCTCAGCACCACATAAAAATAAAAAATGAAGGTGTTTTTGTCCACTGAAAACTAAAAAATAAATATTAAAAAATTCTCTCTCTCCCTCTCTCTTTCTCTCTCTCTCTTTAAAAAAATAAATTACAGAAAGATCAGTGGAGAAGAGGGAAAGGAACAGGAGGAGGGAGAGAGGAGAAAGGGGGATGTTCTGTGGACTGAATTAAAGAAAATTATATTCCATGCATTTGTGATTATGTCAAAATATACCATAATGTTATACAGAAAGAAGAATTTTTAAAACTATAGCAAATATCCTTGAAATCATTATCCCAATCAAAAACATATCTACCACACCCATAACTTCCCTTATGCTGCTGATTAAATGCCAGTTCTTGCCAAACCTATACAATTTGTTTCTTCTTTCTTCTTTCTCTTCTTTCTTCCTTCCCTTTTCTTTTTCTTTCTTTCTTGGGCTACTTTATTTCTCTCAAAATCATTATTTTGAGATTCATCAATGTTGTTAGATGTGTCAATAATTTCTTCCTTTTTATCTCTGAATAATATTCTATGGTATGGAAATAGCATCATTTGATTATTCATTCACCCATTTATGGACATATGTGTTGTTTCCAGTTTTCAGCCATTACTATAAAGTTGACATGAAAATTAATGTGCAAGCCTTTCTGTTAGTATATACTTTCATTTACTTTGAGTAAATTCCCGGGAGTGGAGTTTAGTATAAGGTGGTACCCACCTTACAAAAGGTGTGTGAAACTTGCATGAAACTGCCAACCAGCTTTCCAAGACAGTTTTATCAATGTATATTTCTACCAGCAGTCCATAAGAATTCTTCTTGCTTCCACATCCTTACCAACATGTTGTGTGATTCATTCTTATAATTTTATCCTTCCTAGTAGTTGTATACTGATATCTCATTTTAGTTTTAATTTGTATTTTGTATTTACCTAATGAATAATGGTGTTGAACATCTTTTCATTTACTTTTTGCTATTCATTTCTATTCTTCGATAAAGTGTCTATTCAAGTATTTTACAATCTTTATTATTTTCTTTCTTCTTGGTTTTTATTTTATTTTTCCAATTTCTTAATGTGGAAGCAGAGACAACCGATTTGAGAATGTTCTCTATAGATACATAAATAAGTATAATGTTAAAAATGTCCCTTCTTYCAAGAATCATAGACCCTTAAGTATTATGTCTGTTTGTTACTTACTAATGCTTTCCAACAATTCTTTTCTTATATGTTGTCCAGTTTTTACAGTTCTTTTTTCAATCTCTTTCAATACCAGCCATTCAGTCATGGGTTAAAGCAAGAAGATCCTTTATAATTCTTGTGTACTGGCATTGGGCTGTCCCAAGCCTGGGGGTACAGTCATCATCTCCTATATCCCCAGAGAAAGACAGGGGTATAAAGGACGGCTGTTTAGTGGAAAGAACACAGGGATTTAGCTAGTGAAATCTGGACTCGCATTTCTTCACTTAGTAATTGAGTGGGTTTGTGCCAAGTTCACCTATAATTCCCATATCATGGAATTCTGTGATTCACTTTATAAGAATGTGGTCTAATTCCTATGCCTACAAGAGGCATAAACACAGTAGAATTTAAAAATATATAAAAAAGCATAACATTTTTAGAGTATGCTCTGAAGTTTCATATAACTTCCATGTAGGTTTAAAATATTTAGAAGTTTAGACTATGTATTCTATTTTGAGAACTGAAGAATGGCTATTCTAAACATTTTAAATAATAATAATTTCCTAATTCCATGCATGTGTTACAAGTACAAATAATTTGAGCACATAGCATATTACATGAGAAATAAAATTACAATATTAGCTATTTTAGATGATTCAGCCATTACTATTGCTTATATACACAAAAAATACAATTTTGGGGAAAAGTGGTTGATATGGATAGTTTAAAATAATGAGATTTTGGATATAATAATTTTTTATAAGTAAGTCAGAATTTAGTTGAATCAGTAACTTCTTCTCATTACACTTATTTTTATCTTTTTTTTCCCTAAATAATTTTGGAAGTTGTTAGCATCAGTTCATATTGTTAGTGAGGATCAATTTTCATGTGGAATATAAAGACACTCACAGTTGGTAGGACTAACCTGTCCTGTCATTTCAGGAGCCACAGAGAAGATGGGCCAGAAGAAAGAGTAAACTGAGAAAAACAGCATCCAGCTTATTATGCTTCCCCAAATTGCCACATGACTAAACTGCAGAAAGAAGAGTACCACAGAGGCATGAGTCTTTTCTATTTAAAAGGGTGGAGGTGCTAATTATATCAACTAACAAAATACATTTGTTCATCTCAGATGTTTTCATGAGAAAATATCAATAATTGTTCAATTACTTAAAATTTAGGGTTTCTTTTCCACATTTTTTTCAGAATATTTTGCTGTAGAAACAGGGAACCACTGGTTAATGTATCTTAAACAATGGTACCTCATTTACCTAAGCCAAGTGACATTCTGTGTCTTCAGTGAAAACGGCCAACTCTCAGTCCACACAGTGATGGGTGATTTATTGAGGCTATCGGCTTTTGTCTATTTTTAATTCAGAGCTTTTTCAGTAAAAGTAAAGTATTTCAACAGAAATCAGGAAGAGATCTTTTAAAAAGGACCAAATCATTCTTGTTCTGTACAAGTAGCTCTGGGACAATGGCAGGCATTGTGACATTGACTGAATGATGCACATTAGCCTGGTAGAGATAACTGGATGAAAGATCACTGCCAATGTCTGGGTCTGGGAACTTGTGCCTATAATGGGCTCAAGTGCTCTCATCCTGTTAGGTAGTGCTTGTTGATTAATTATGTTCAAACAACAAATGTAACAATGGAAAAGACCAGTCTGCCAGTTCTTGTGTTTGTAAGTTATCTTCAAAATCAACTTTTCACATTCTTTTAAAAGGTAACCTATTAGTCAAATGATTCCTCTCTCTGGTTAAAGTAAACCGAACTGGCCTCAGAAAGGGTCTTCCTGTGATCATAAAGATGATTAAAGATGATTTCCACATGAAGATGGTGGAAAAGAGGATCAGGCGAAAACTGGGAACTTTGAAACTTAAAAAACAGCAATGCAGGGGCTGGGGTTATGGCTCAGCGGTAGAGTGCTTGCCTAGCATGTGTGAGGCACTGGGTTTGATCCTGAGCACGACATAAAGATGAATAAATAGAATGAAGGTATTGTATCCATCTACAACTAAAATTTTAAAATATACATACATACAACAATGCATCTTCATAATGGTTCCCTTGTAATTGACACAATGCATTAGCTGTAATGCTAGGCATTTCGGTATGGTTTAGTATTTTCAGATGGGTTCCTGATGGGACGCGGGAGTGGTCGCAAGCCACCATGCTGCTCTTGAGAGGCATTTTGCTACCTCTCTGCCTTGTTTAGTTCTTGCACCTAAAGGGTGACTTCCAGTATCCTCCTCTTCCCCAAGAAGAAGCCCCAGAACACCTACTCCATCGTCTCCACAGGGTAGGCAACCAATGCCTTCTTTTCCTTTACCACACTCCTTCTTAATCTCCATGGGAGGTAGAGAGCAGGAACATGGGACAACACAGGAGACAAGAAAGCCCCCCCCCACGTTTTTGCTACTTTTGCTATGGACTTTAAATAAATAAGTAAACAAAGAAATATTTATGAATAAAAAAAAGTGAGATTCAGTATGTACAGACATAAGTGATCCTAAACCTAGAAAACATTCTTTACAGGAGAGGATTTGACAATTAGAATGAGAAATAGAAAATAATTGTTTCTATATTTACATAGTGGTTAAGGTGGTATAATATTGTGCTTATAACTTGTATGTTTTATGAGCTGCTAATGTAATATGTTTTTTCATAACTGAGTGTCAAGGTCCAGTTGGAAATACTGTTGTGGTCAGAACTCCAAATTGATTGCATCAGAGAATACGTGATACACTACATCATCTTAGCTCTTAAAAGGTGACAAGCTAGCTGGGTATGGTGGCGCATGCCTGCAATCCCAGTGACTCAAGGGACTGAGACGGGAGGATCATGAATTCAAAGCCAGTCTCAGCAATGGTGAGGCGCTAAGCAACTCAGTGAGACCCTGTCTCTAAATTAAAAAAAAAAAAATACAAAATAGGCCTAGGGATGTGGCTCGGTGGTCGAGTGCCCCTGAGTTTAATCCTTGGTACAAAAAAACAAAAAAAAAAAAAAAAAAAAGTTACAAGCTAATATAAATTCATTTCCTCTCAAAAAAAAATCTTTGTTTGTGATGTTTTTTTTTGTTTTTTTTTTTTTCAGTACTGGGCACCAAACCCAGGGCCATGAGCATCTATGCAAGTGTTCTATGACTGAGTACATCTTCCAGCCCCTTCTGTAATAGCTATGCAGATTAAATAGATGGAAAAATGTTATTAAGTGAAAAAAGTAAATTACAAAACATTAGCTACATTATAATCTTTTTTTTTTCATTTTTGATATTGGGAATTGAACCCAGGGGCACTTTACCAGTAACCTACACCCCAGTCCTTTTTCTTTTCTGTTTTGAGAGAGGGTCTTACGAAGTTGACTAGGGTCTAAGTAGCCTGGGTTGGCCTCAAACTCCTTCCTCAGCTTCCTGAGTCTCTGGGATTACACATGTACTCTGGCCTAGCTATTATTTTATTCTTGTTTAAAAAAGTTAACATACATAAGAAAAAAGACTGAAAGAATAGAAACCAAACTGTCAATAATAGCATTCACATTGAAAGGCATGGAAAATATGTATTTACTTAAATTTCTGTGTTAGCTAAATTTTCTGTATTAATCCTGAACTTGGATAATAATAGTAAATGAAGTATCTCAGTTATAGTATGCTAAATTGAATCTATTTCAAATGTAAAACAGGAAAACAAATATCCTAAAGACATTAGATGAATAATATACCTTCATCCAGTTTAAATCATTATTTGAATATGCAAAATCAAATAGAGYATGGAGAACAAACAAAAGCTTATTATTTTTCTAAAAATTAAAAGTAAGTCAGCACATAGCAACAACAATGGATTTAGAAAAACTCCTGAAGTATACTTACTCTATTCCAAGATGTTGTCTCCAGCCCAGCTTTCAGACAAACAGTAACAACTACATACTGTGAGAGGTGAGATGGGAAGGCAAAGACAATAAAATAAAAAATGTAAAAAAAATTTCCATTAGAATTCATATCTCCTACTCCTTTCCTGACATCCCCCCCACCCCCATTCATCCTCACATCTGGTGGACTGTAATGTCATTAAGTTGATAAATGTTCTCCTGGGTTTTAGTTCTAAGGAGGATATAGTGTTTTCTAATACATGCACGTGTTTAGGAACTCTTTAGCATATGACTCAAATCAATACTTATGTTATAAGCTCTTATATTTACTTTTATTTTTTTAATAAATACCATGGAAGATTTGATTCTACCTAGAAATCTGAGTGCTATTAATAAAAAAAACATACAGTTGAGCAGGGTAAATTGAAACCACTATAAATCAAAAGAGTTATCTTCTATGGATTTTTGTATTTACCTAAGAGTTTCTTTGTGTCATAAGATATGATATATTTTAGAGAAGGAGCCATATGCTGCTGAGAAAAAAGTATATTTGCTCATTGATGGGTAAAATATTCTTTTTATGTAAATTTTAAAATTTATATATGATAGCAGAATGCATTACAATTTTATTACATATATAGAGCATAATTTTTGATATCTATGGTTGTATACATAGCCTATTCACACCAATTCATGTCTTCATACATTTAATTTGGATAATAATGATCATCACATTCCACCATCATTAATTACCCCATGCCCCCTCCCTTCCCCTCCAATCCCTCTGCCCTATCTAGAATTCGTCTATTCCTCCCATGTTCCCGCTCCCTATCCCACTATGAATCAGCCTTCTTATATCAAAGAAAACATGAGGCATTTGGTTTTTTGGGACTGGCTAACTTCACTTAGCATTATCTTCTTTAACTACAACCATTTACCTGCAAATGCCATGATTTTATTCTCTTTTATTGCTGAGTAATATTCCAGTATGTATATAGGCCACGTTTTTTTATCCATTCATCTATTGAAGTGCATCTAGGTTGGTTCCACAGTTTAGCTATTGTGAATTGTGCTGCTATAAACATTGATGTGGCTATGTCCCTGTTGTATGCTGTTTTTAAATCCTTTGGGTATAGACCGAGGAGAGGGACAGCTGGGTCAAATGGTGGTTCCATTCCTAATTTTCCAAGAAATCTCCATACTGCTTTTCATATTGGCTGCATCAATTTGCAGTCCCACCAGCAGTGTATGAGTGTACCCTTTTCCCCACATCCTCACCAACACTTATTGTTGTTTGATGCATAATAGCTGCCATTCTGACTGGAGTGAGAGGAAATCTTAGAGTGATTTTAATTTGCTTTCTCTAATTGCTAGTGATGATGAACATTTTTTCATGTATTTGTTAACTGATTGTACATCATCCTCTGAGAAGTGTCTGTTCAGGTCCTTGGCCCATTTATCAATTGGGTTATTTGTTTTTTTGGTGTTTAGCTTTTTTTTGAGTTCTTTATATACCCTAGTGATTAGTGCTCTATCTGATGCGTGAGACGTAAAGATTTGCTCCCAAGATATAGGCTCTCTATTCATCTCACAAATTATTTCTTTTGTTGAGAAGAAGCTTTTTAGTTTGAGTCCATCCCATTTATTGATTCATGATTTTAATTCTTGTGCCACAGGAGTCTTATTAAGGAAGTTGGGGCCTAATCCCACATGATGGAGATTAGGGCCTACTTTTTCTTCTCTTAGACGCAGGGACTCTGGTTGTATTCCTAAGTCCTTGATCCATTTTGAGTTTTGTGCATGGTGAGAGATAGGGGTTTAATTTCATTTTGTTGCATATGGATTTCCAGTTTTCCCAGCACCATTTGTTGAAGAGGCTATCTTTTCTCCAATGCATGTTCTTGGCACCTTTGTCTAATATAAGATAATTGTATTTTTTGTGGGTTATTCTCTGTGTCCTCTATTATGTACCATTGGTTTATCAAGTCTGTTTTGGTGCCAATACCATGCTGTTTTTGTTACTATTCCTCTGTAGTATACTTTAAGGTCTGGTATAGTGATGTCACCTGCATCACTCTTCCTGCTAAGGATTGCTTTAGCTTTTTCCAGATGAATTTCATGATTGCTTTTTTTATTTATATGAGGAATGCCATTGGGATTTTGATAGGAATTGCATTAAATCTGTATAGTGCTTTTGGAAGTATGGTCATTTTGATAATATTAATTTGTYGTATATAAGAGCAAGGTAGATCTTTCCATCTTCTAAGGTCTTATTTGATTTCTTTAGGGTTCTATAATTTTCTTTATATAGATCTTTCACCTCTTTCATTAAGTTGATTCCCAAGTATTTTAATTTTTTTGAGGCTATTGAGAATGGGGTAGTTTTCTTCATTTCCCTTTCTGAGGATTTGTCACTGGTATACAGAAATGCCTTTGATATATGGGTGTTAATTTATATATCCTGCTACTTTGCTGACTTCATTTTCTAGTTCTAGGAGTTTTCTAATGGAACTTTTAGGGTCTTCCAAGTATAGAATCATAGCTGATGGGTGAAATATTCTATATATGTCTGTTAGAACATACACTTCACAGAAGAAGAAATACAATTGATCAACAAATATATGAAAAAGTGTTCAACATCTCTAGTAATTAGAGAGATGCAAATCAAATCTACTCTAAGATTTCATCTCATTCCAGTCAGAATGGCAATCATCAAGAATACAGGCAACAATAAATGTTGGCAAGGATGTGGGGGAAAAGGTACACTCATACATTGATGATGGGAATGCAAATTGGTGCAACTGCTATGGAAAGTAGTATGGAGATTCCTCAGAAAACTTGGAATGGAACCACCATTTGACCCAGCTCTCCCACTCCTTGATATATACCCAGAAGACTTAAAGTCAGCATACTACAGTGATGCGGCCACATCAATGTTTACAGCAGCTCAATTCACAATAGCTAACCTATGGAACCAACCTAGGTTTCCCTCAATAGATGAATGGTATGTACATATATGCACACAATAACAAGAAAAAAATGACATCCCAACAGAACTAAATACAACAACAAGCAGTTCATGGATAGAAAAAAAAAGAATTGATTTATAATCACACAAATATGATTGCTCTCAAAGCAAAAACTGCAATAGGCTATCATTTTTGGATGAAGAAGTGTGATAAGATCACTGCCCATGGGACTCAGGGAAATTGATGTTCTTATTACTAAATTTGTGTACTCTTTGGGGGAATATTTGGTAATGTCTTTCAAAATTCATGCTACCATCTGATATAGCTAAAATTAAGCTCCTAGAAATTTATCCTACAGATATACTTACTTCTGGGCACATACGAATAGTCTTTGTAGTATTGTTCATAATGTCAAAGGACCAAAAATAACAGTAATGTCCACTAATAGGAGACTAGCTAAATTAATAATGGCAAGTTACTCATACACGCAACCCTAAAAGGATGATGTAAATATTTATGGGCTGATTTGAAATCAGCAAGGCATGCTATATAGTGGGAAAAAATGAGATATTGAGAAGCATTTCCTACTTATCAAAAAAGTAGGGAGGGAGGTAACATACATTTGTAATAAAGTTTATATTTCTAGAAATATATGTAAGCAACTGCTACAATAGTTTCTTCTTGGAAAAGACATTAGAGTGAGAGAATCTTAAAATTCATAGGATACTGACTTATAACATTTGGTAAAGTGATTTATTTGTTTTAATTAGAAATAAGTGATTTAATGCACAAGAGTAATCTTACCGTATAAATAAAATTTCCAAGAAATAAATAGTCTGTGGTGTAACCATGTCGCAATATCATATCTGAAACGTGAAAAAATCATGTTTTAATCTTTATAGAGTCTGTAATATAGATTTTGAATTTATTTTTACCAAAGAAACACATAGTGGACCCCCCCCCAAAAAAATATTCATTGATTATTGGTCATATTTCTAAATCGCTTTAAATGACAAAAATTTTGCATCTATTATCTGTGACAATTGTGACTTTTTCTTACTTTTTAGTCTCTCCAAGGATATATCAAGCAACAGATGAAAAAACAAAGCATAAGGAGTATGTGAATGTTGTTGTAAACTTAGCTTTATTTGCATTAAACCATTTGACAGAACCCATAAATTAAAAGTACAAATATCCCATAAATTATGCTAGGTTATGAGAAATTGTAATAATTTTGTCATCATATTTTTAATACTATTTCCTTTTCTAAAATAACAAACAATAGACAATTTGAAATAATGATAGAATTTCCTAATTCTTTTCAATTATTGCTATATCTACTATAAAACTTTATGAAGGCCCCAGACTATCTCAACATTAGGATACTCTCTTCAGATCTTCTTGACATGTTTTAAAATTCTCTAATACATATTGGTGGTTTTTGGTTCATTACATTTGATATGTAAATTTTCAAGTGCCAACTCCTGACCTTTATACCAATTCAGATAGTATACTTATGTACTTAGACTCATTTATTGTTGTTGTTGTTTTATGTTTGTTTGTTTCTGAGTTATAATCCACTAAAACTACAGGCAATGAAACATTTAGGGAATCCAAATGAAGAAAAGTGAATAAATATGTGGGCCAAATTACAACCACCAGGAGAATGACAACCATGATTCTAGAGTGTGCACTGACTGACCTACACTTTGTGAGCTTATTGGGAGTGGGATGATAGTATAGATGAGAACAATATAACTGAATAGAAAAGAGAAGATAGCTGCTTCACAGGAACATAATATTGGATTATATTGTTTGGATATGTACTCATAAAGGAATGGAGAAATTAGAAGCTACATTGGGAGGGAAGAAAAACTTCCAGTATTCCAACATTCTGGTGTGAAGCAGAAATTACTTTCCTTCTGAATATTACACAAAATTAATAATGAAAAATGCCACAAAGTCAATGTCAGGGAAACAAGGAGACAAAAAAAAATCCACAGACTCAGAAAACTAACAAAGGCTTCCAAGGAACTGAAGCCAGCACAGAAGCTGAGCTTGCTACTTGTAGTAAGAGCTCCCTGATGTGAATACCAACTTGGCCTAGAGCATCAGATCCCAAAAAACATCTGCAGAAATACACTTTTCTTCTCTCTGGGACAGAAACTTTAATCCCATGAAGAATTAAAAAAAAAAAAGAAACAGATACAGTACCCATAAAATGACTATTTTATGAGTTTTGGTCATTCTTTATTATGCTATATATATGTCCCTGATTATGAAATATGTTTTTAAATGAATTGAATCAAATGAGTGGAAAAAGGACAGCAAAATTTATCACAGATGAAGAAAGCTCACTAGGGATTTTTACATAAGACCCAGTTTACCCAGCCAAAAACCTAATGACTAATCAGAACAAAAAGACTGGTGTGCATTTGAAAGATTTAATATATCAAAATATATTTATATACATCTAATATGTTGAAGAAATAAGAGTATAAAAGCAAAAACAAATGTGGTGTTAAAATTATTAGCTGTAATTATCACATGCCCATATGATAAGGAAATGACACCTGAATACATGAAGGTACTGGTGAAATAAATGGAAAACATCAAGTTTGCAGATGGTCTCATCAAGTCAACAAAAGACATTCAAAGCAAACAAAGTATTCCAACTGGAAGCATACTTAAGAGCATGAAGGTATGTCATATGCAAGATAATGAGGTGTTGGAGGAACAGAAAGAGAGAAGGAAGAAAAATATAATAATTTTATCATTATTCATATGAGGAAATGATTTCTCTAAAGAAATAGAGTGATGCTTATACAAATTTATAATAACAAATTGACTATAAGAACAAAAATTCAAACCTTTCTTAGTATCAGAAATCTATACAAATAAGCAAAGAAACCCAAAGAAATGATTAAAGATTAGAAAAATAAATTTAGGAAGGAAATGCAAAGTCAAATGAACATCTCAACAAAATTCTATTTTTCTATTTATTTATTTATTTATTTTCTCGTTCTCGGCAGACACAACATCTTTGTTGGTATGTGGTGCTGAGGATCGAACCCTGGCCGCACGCATGCCAGGCAAGCGCGCTACCGCTTGAGCCACATCCCCAGCCCCAAAATTCTATTTTTTAAAAAAATGAATTTTAGATTGAATCTTAAATTAGATTTTATGCTGCAAGAAATGCACCTTAAAAAGTAACTCATATAGTTGAAAAATGAAGGATGATCAAGGATGAGACATAATAGTAACTGTAACCTAGAGGAAATTGACACTAAGTAGACTTACACAAGACAAGGAAGGGTACCTTGTAAAGCCAAACATAAAAATTTCAATGAATATGAAATAGGCTATCRGCATGACAAATAATATTTTAAAACATAAAAGGAGAAACAAATATGATAGTAGTAGATTTTTAYTCACCTTTCTCAGTTCATAATACATAAAGTGACAACAAATAAATGAAGAGGCAACAATATTTCTGGCTATAATCTATTAGAAAATTGGATTAAATATAAAATGACTACCTTCAGACATTAGGTAAGAGACCAAACAGAGACTTTGATTCCTGAAGAAAGGGTAAAACATTAGATGAGCCTTGTCCCTACTCACACCTTGAGGCAGTTTCTAAACTACTGGCAGGGAAAGAGATTCAACATTGTTGGCTGAATTAATGAGAGGACCAAGTTGTTCAAATTTGCAGAACAGAACATGGGAATTATGGAAAGAATTATCTTAAGCAATTCATATGGGGTCCTCATAAGTCCTTGATTGAATGCTAACCTGCAATGTGAACCCATAAATTCCACAAGGCAGTAAAGAACAACTTCCATGGAAAAACAAATTACCACATAAGGGCAAGTTTAAAAAAATTCCAGATTTAGTATAGGAATTGCTCAAATTCCTATAGGCCAAAGTGAAAAGAACTTTTTCGATGAGCATTCAGCAGAGACCCCAGAGGGAATATATAACTTTAGTAAAAATTAAATTCATTTTAAAGGATTATTAGACTGAACTTCAAAAATATAAAAATAAGTGTCAAAAGAGTAAAATTGAATCACAATAACTAAGTTATTGTGCTGAAACAAAGTCCAAGTATTTAAAAATATACAAATGAACTATTCAGCAACATAACATTTATAATGTTCAACATCCATTATAAAATTACGATGTGGATAAATGGGGGGAAATGATGAATAACCAGAAGAAAATTGGTACTAGAAACAATTAAAAAATAACAGAAATGTTGGAAATAGCAGGGAAGTCTGTAGCTATTATAAATATTTTAAATATTCTCAAGGATTTGTAGAAAATATGAACATGATAAAGAAAGAAATTAAAGAAATGAACAAAATAAAATTTCTAGAGATGAAAATATTAACACTGATAAATCAGTAACACACAACTAAATAAAATATTAGTACACTTAAAAGCATAGAAAAAGAAACTAAAAATGAACAAAAATATTATAAATGGATGTATGTGTAGTTAGAGTCATGGAAGAAGAGGAAAGAGAGGGAGACAAAAGAAATGGCAAGGAAAATTTTTACAATTTGTTGAACACTATAAAACAATAGATGCAAAAACTTTGAGCAGGAAAATAGATAAACATAACTTAAACTTTATCATGTCATATCAACACTAAATTGCCGTGAATCAGTGATAAAGAAAAGAAGTCTTAGGATCACATAGACAACACACTACATAAAGAAGAATTATCATAGGCTTTTCAACAAAATAATGCAAACCAGAAGTCAATGGTCTTTAAAGAAGTTGAAGAAAAGGAACTATCAACATAAAATTGCTTTTTCAAAAGGAAAGTAAAATAGAGACTTTTTGAATAAATAAAATCTTAAAGAAAATTCATTTGTTTTAAATTTCAAAAGAATAAATTTGCTTTAAAGCAAAGTTATTGTGCTAAAACTTTCTAGAAGAAAGCTAGAAAATGAAATATTTAATTTTCCAACTTTAACAACTAATTTTTCAGAAACAAAGAAGTAGACATTTCCCAACTTAAGAAGCAAGTATTATGCTAATTTGAAATCCAGATAAATTTTGAGTTTCTTTATATATTCCAGAGATTAATGTTCTATGTGAGGTGCTGGTGGCAAAGCTTTCCTCCCATTATGTAGGCTCTCTCTTCACATGCTTGATTGTTTCCTTTGCTATGAAGAAGTTTTTTAGTTTGATACCATCCTTTTTATTGATTGTTGATTTTACTTCTTGTGCTTTAGGAGTCTTGTTGAGACTCTCAGGCTAAGTGAAATGAGCCAATTCCAAAAAACCAAAAGCTGAATGTTCTTTTTGATATGCAGATGCCAATACATAATGCAGAGAGGGGATAGAAGTTCTGTAGATTAGACAAAGAGGAATGAAGGGAAGGGAGGGGAATAGGAAAGACAGTAGAATGAACTGGACATAATTTTCCTATGTTCACATATGAATACACGACCAATGTAACTCCACATCATGTACAACGATGAGAACAGGATCCTACTAGAATAAGTTATATTTCATGTATGTACAGTATGTCAAAAAACACTCTACTGTAATATATGTCCAAAAAGAACAAATTAAAAAAATGTAAAAAACAAGCAAAAATACAGATAAAGAATATTATAAGAAAGACCAATCAATACCCATATCATGAACATAGAGGCAAAAATCCTTAGCAAATCAAATTTAGCAACATATAAAAAAGATAATACATGATAAACAAGGGATTATTTAAGGATATGATGCTAGTTTATATTTTAAAGTCAATGAATCCAATTCATCATAGTAGCAAAATAAAAAAGAAAAATGTTATCACCTTAATAGATGGATAAGAAAAAACATAAACCAAATCCAAAATCTGCTCATTAAAGCACTTGCCTGGCACGTGTGAGGCACTGGGTTCAATACTCAGCACCACATAAAAATAAAATAAAGATATTGTGTCCATCTACAAATATAAACAAACAATAAATAAATATCTTCAGCCAACTAGAACTGAAGAGAACTTTCTTAGTGTAATAATGGGCATCTATGAAAAAAAGCTAATATCTTAAATAATGGTAGAAAGATGTATTCTTTCCTCATAAGATTAGGAAGAATGTGAACATGTCCAAATTTACTGCTTCTGTTTAACATTGTCCTGGAGATCCCAGCCCGTGCCTTAAGGAAGGGGAAATCAATAAAAGGCATATGTAATGAAAAGGGAAGAATTTGTCATAGATAAATTTACACCTGGTCCCTGAGATTATGTATGACACATTCAGGCAAAATTGATAAAGTAGGGACATGGAAACCTTGGTTGTCACTTCAATGATGAGTGATATTTTGTGCTTATGTAGTTTGCTTGTCCATTATGTACAAAATACTTTAAACTAAATTTTAACATGTATGAAATCTTTCAGTACCAAAACATTGTACCAGATAATTTGGGCAGCCACATAATTCATTCTCATAAATATCAACGCAAATTTGCACACAGTTAATTTCAGTTGGTACCCACCTCATACATACCACCCAGTAAGTATAAATAATAATTATTTATTCCTTACAGAGAATCTGAGGATGTTGCCTATGTGTGTATATGTGTTGTGGGACATTTTAAATGTTAGAAGACTAAAAATTTTAGGAGGAAAAACCAAAAAATGAGTATTCTAAAAATTAGTTTATCATATGCATTACATTTAACAACATAAACTCTGTAAACTACTACATTGATAAAATCATGGTATTTCTAATTCCAGATTTGGGTTTATTATTATACTACACTTCTTTCTTATATTTGAAGATAATCTATGATTTTTGAATAGATTCTATCTATGTTTTAACCACTATACTGAACCTTCTTTTCTAGATATATTACAAAGTTGAGACTTCAGAAGTCTTTTTAAAACAGCATTATTGAGATATAATTCATATGCCATACAATTTGTACATTTAAACGTATTATTCAATGGCTTATCTGTATAATTAAATGTATTATTTAATTGCCATTATCAATTTTAGAATACTTTCCATTACCCCCCAAAGAAACTCTGGGCCACCTAGCCCATCCATTCCCCCAGCCCTAGGCAACCACTAATTTCTGTTCTGCTGATATTGATTCTACTCTTCTGGACATTTCTAATAAATAGAATTACATGTGTTCCTTCATGCCTGCTTTTTCTTCACTTGGAATGATGTTTGCAGGGCACATCACTGTTGCATTGCAGCATGATCTAGTTCATTTCTTTTCATTAGCAAATAATATTCTATTGTATGAATATAATACATCTTCTGTATCTATTTTTCATTGATAGACATGCTGGGCTGTTATAAATAATGCTGCTTGAACATTAGTTTTTATGAGGATATACCTTTATTTTCTTTTGGCCATATTTCTAGGGGGGAATATATGATTTTATGTGTAATTGTTTAAGAAAATTAAGACTCTTTGCCAAAGTAATTGTGCAAGTTACATTTCTGCCATCAGTGTATGAGGATTTAAGTTTCTCCACATCCTTTGTCAACACTTATTGCTGTTATTTTGATTATATCTTCCTAAAATGCTGTGGTGGTATCTCAGGCTTTAATTTGCATTTATTTATTCATTAGTGATGATGAGCATCTTTTTATATCTTTATTAGCTATTTATATATCTTCTTTGGATAAATATCTATTCATTTCCCTTGCTGATTAAAAAATTTTTTTTTCATTTGTAGATGGACACAATGCCTTTATTTTATTTATTTTTATGTGGTGCTAAGGTTCAAACCCAGTGCCTCGACCATACTAGGCAAGCATTCTACCACTGAGCCACAACCCCAGCCCCATCCCTTGTCAATTTTTTTAAAAAGTGTAGTATTGAGTCTTTTTAGTGTTGAGTTGAAAGTGTTCTTTGCATG